TATATATTTAGAGAGCTAGGCAAATTGATAAATGAGTTGGCAACTTTCACATACATCCCCCACCACCACCCCCAAATAGAATAAATAACGGTGTTTCACACTGGCTGTTGTAAGCTATGCCAATAAAATAAAAATGCTAATATTCTGTATCTGTTGTAAATATTGAACTGTGTTTGAGGGATAAATTAACCCTGTATGAAAAATACCTATCTTTTAGAAAGGAATACTACCCAGGGGGTTTCTGGGAGGCTGCAGTGATCCTAGTGGAATCTATCCTCACTCCCCGGAACCTTCCCTTCCTTCTTGACTAACAGGGCCTCCACCCAGCCATCAGGTCACCTTAGTCAGAAACCAAGGCTTTTTCTCAGGCTGCCTCCTCTCCTCCTTCACTCTTGTCCAAAGGGGCAGCCACTCCGCTAGTCCACACCTTGACCTTCTTTGGTCCATCCTTGCACTGCCCTTGTTCAGACTGTTTCATACCTGGTTTGCTGTAGTAACCTGTCTGGATTCTCTGATTTCCCCCCTCTTCTCAACTACCCACCACTGTGACCAATTATCTTTCTAAAAACTTAATCTGACCATATGGTAACCTTGCTTAAAATCCTTTAAAGATTTTCCAATAATTGCTTATGGGACAAAACCCAAACCCGACAGAAAAGCATTGAAGGAAACCCTCTTGGGATCTAAGTTGGGCTCATTTTTCTGTTCTTGCCCCTCCCCAAGCCCCATTAGTTCATTTTCCACCCAAATGCACTGGACTCTTGCCTCCCAGAAATGCCCTTCCTTTTATCCTGCTGTGGAAGCTCTCCTCATCTCGAAGGACAAAGCTTGGTTGTCTGTCTTCACCTCTGCAAAGCCTGTCCTCACTTTATAACTGAGTTATATGCATCTTCCTCCTTGTTTATTATCCCCTAAACACTCCTTACAGAGTCTTAGAATTCTCTGGTTGCAAGCAAGAAGACGAAATTCAAGCTAATTTAATCAAAGAAGGGCAACACATAGACACTCCGTGGGAAGGATGAGGAGAGACGACCTCAGGGGTAACTCCATCTCTAGACTTGCACAGTGTCAGGACTCTGTCTTCTCTGTTTCTCTCTGCATAGGAGTGTCATTTCCTTCTACTGCAAATGGGTCTTCTCTGTGCGGCCAGGGGCAGGAAAGCTAGTGATTGCAGGTTTACATCCTTAAAGCCATGTAACCCAAGAGAAAAGAGATCTTTTCTTTTATCAGCTTAGGTCAAGAAAAGGCTTGTGAAGCTTGGGTCATGTGCCAACCTGTTAGACCAATGACAGTGGCAAAAAAGAGAAGGTGCTGTGATGAGCTCACATCCTTCCTTGTTGGGTATTTTCAAGGCAGTACAAACATAGCCCTGAGGAAATCATTGGGGGGGACACCCCAGCGACAAAGCACTTCTCAACTTACCAGTAATTAGTAAATACTTCTGGGAAAAACACTGAAATTTACTTGTGTAACTCATCACAGAGCCTGGCACACAGTAGGTACTCAATAAATGCTGGTTGAGTGAATGCAATAGATGGTCAACAAAGTCAGAGCAAGAGACCAGGTGTGTAGCTCTTAAATAGAAAGTTTAAATAGAAGTGAAAAGTGCAACAAAACTTATAGGCAGCTCTTCCCTGTTGTTACCAAAATGCCTTATAGAAAAAATCATGAAAATATGTCCCCCTCTGTCAAAGGGAAATAGAAAACTTGCAAAGCTAGGTGACTGGGGCGGTGGAGGGGGTGGTGCTGGGGGGCCTGTTGTTACCAAAATGCCTTATAGAAAAAATCATGAAAATATGTCCCCCTCTGTCAAAGGGAAATAGAAAACTTGCAAAGCTAGGTGACTGGGGCGGTGGAGGGGGTGGGGTGCTGGGGGGTGGGGGAGGGAGGAGACAGTCCAAGTACTATAAGTGTTCACATTAAGAAACAAAGGGTATTGCACATTATAGTCTAATTTCAGAAGGAAATTTTTTAGCTCCAGCATTTTACCTAGAGATTTCAACCTCACTAGTAAAGACTTTGCTATTCTAAAGACAAAGACTTTAATGCTTAAATAGAAATAGTCGATGATCTTGGATGGTAAATTACTGTAGACAGGGTCCAGAGATGAAATGTGACTGGTTCTATCCATGGCTCTATGGTTGCTGCCTGCATTTCAACCCGGGATTATTAACGAGGAATTGGGGGCTCCATGGGGCCAGTCTCAGAGATTGTTCCCACTCCAGTACCATCTATAATAATAAAAGCATAATATGCTAATTAGACCGGACAGCCGAACAACCTTCCGGACAAAGCCAGGGCTGCGAGGGCCAAGGCAAGCCACTGTGGCTGCGAGGGCCAACCCCCTTGCACAAATTTCATGAATTTCGTGCATCGGGCCTCTGGTTACCTATAAAGTGGAGACACACAGATAACAGTGATAGCATTGGGAGGCAGCCAAGTAATGGGCTGTAGGAAAACTTTAGAGAATATTGTGACTTACATAGAAAAGCAATAGCCCACTAATCTGTGGAGAAAAGCTCTTTCAGTGGTTCCTTTGACAAATATCTCCTGAGTGTCTATTCCATGCCCAGCTCTGTGCTGAGAGCTGAGGATGCAGGGATGAATGGGACAGCTGCGACCCTCAGAGTAACTTGGGGACTTGTCCAAGAGACAGACATGTGAAGGGGCAAAGTATGAAAGAAGTGGAATCTACAAGCACTGTGGACTCAGGCAGAATGGCCAGCAAAGTCCTGTGTGAAGGTGGGATGCTCAATCTGAAGAGCTGAAGAGATCTAGTTGTACCTGTAGGGCCCTGGTTCTCAGGTTCCTCTCTCTCTGCCATGTTGGCTGAGCCCCTCCTCTGTGCCAACCAGTGTCAGGACTGGAGACATTGGGATGAACAGGAAGCCATCCCTGCCTTTCTCTTAATTAGAACAAAATATCAACATGTAATCAAATCATGGCCGCCATGGGGAAAACGACACGATAGAATTGGAAGAGGAAACTTCATCTTTGGATTCGTAGATTATTACCCACAGTCAACAGCTAGTTTATTATTGTGCACAACCACACCCACCACCAATCTTCCTACCTAAAACACTGGTTTATTTCCATAATTAACTAATAATTTAATTAAGCCTCATCTCCTCCCTGTGCTAAGATTTTTCCCACTTATAAAGCAGTTAAAGCTCTTTATTTGCAAAACACTTTTGTTTCCTTTGGTATGAGAACAGCAATATAAATCCTATGCATCTACTTTTTTTTCTTTATACAACTTTATTTTTAAAAATCTTGTTCATGTACAGGCATTGGCACATTTTAAAAACAAACTACATACACAGCCCTCTCCTATAATCCAGGAAAGTGGAATGTCAGGAGTCAGCAACCGTGGTGAACTTAAAGTGCTAGAATGAAGGCACTTCACATACTCTTCACGGGAAGTGACCATTGCCTCGGACACCTTCACTTCATACGTGGCAGCGACTGTCTGTCAGGATCGGAGCACAGAAATAAGACAGCTTCGTGGCAGTAACAGCGGAACACCAATACGTGATGAGCCCTTGGCCATTTTGGGTTTTGATGACCTTTAACCTACTTTCAACTTTCCTCTCCTACGATTAAAAACAGGAGTTAGAATTGGAAGGGAAGTTGAAGTCCCAGAATGCAGTCACTCCAGGGGCTTGGGAGCCCTTTGTGATCACGGTGGACGTTTTGTGAAGTCAGAGAGCAAGTATTAGGGAAGAAGACCTAAACAGTTCGTTATAAATGCTCATGTTATTCGCAAGGCTACAAGGTTTCAGTTAGAGGTAGATAACTGTCCCAGGTTTCCAAGGAGTCTAATAATTTAGTATCTGGGCATCAAACAGGTCACACACTCCTCACTGTCATCTCAATGAAAGTTGTAGTCTCCGCGGAGGTGGGGGAGAGCCGCAGGGGAAGAAACACATCAGAAGACATCAACTCATCAATGGTGTCTCCAGTAATAAATAGATCCTGAAGCCAGAGTTTGTGGCCCGGAGGCGCTGGAGGCCAGGCGGGGTTCCTCTCAGAGGCAGGCTGCCCTGGGAGGCTCGGCGGGGCGGGGCTTGGGAGGAGTCAAAGGCTGAGAGGGGGTGAGTGCGTGAGGTCCTCGGATGGGGGAACAGGAAAAACCACAGCTGAGACGAACTGGACTCCTTATTTATAAGCAGCACGTGGACGGGGCCCGAGTGACTCTCCAGGTCGATCTGGTCCTGTCCATCCTGACCCATCCCTGGAAGAGGCCCTCCAGCCGCGTGCCAGCAGGTGCCTGGATGGCCAAGGGTGTGTCGCCGGGGTAGCAATTGCAGATGCCCTCGGGGGTCACGTAGGAAAACTGGCCGAGGAGGGCGTCATCCATCACATTGCTGATGCTCTGCGGCAGCCATGACTTCTGCTGATCCAGGTCCCTTTCCTCAGGTCCAGGTCCTCGACCTCGGCGCTGAGGTCTCGCCGTCTCTCCAGGACTTCCTTAGTGTTGCAGCCAGAGCCCACACCTCCCTGTTTTGGGACTTTTTCTCAATCAGGCCGATCTCTTCCAAGACGTTGGTGATGTCATAAATCCTTCTCTTCTGCCTCACAGCCACAGTATCTGCAGCCGCCTCCTGCAGCCGCCACAGGAACCTG